TATACCTTTGCTCTTGACTCTTTATGTAGGCCTTGTCCAAGAAACAATAATAATCTGATGATCTGATAACATGTCTTGAGATTTTTTTTTCTTGAAAAAATACTATGTCTACTGGTTTTCTGAAGTCAAAGGTGGAAATTCTCCTTCAAGTGTAGTCGTACTTTAAAAGTGAACTTTTCGGTTTGAAAAAAGAATAAAAGATATAACTATCAGCGTTGAAGAATGCGCCATGGACTTCACTAAGCTTGGTTAGTGGAATGAAAGGTACACCTATTACTGCGCTGTACACCCCCATATCTACTTATCAGTGCTTGAATGTGAACTATACAAACACATACCGTCCAAATGAGATGAGGAAGAAGTAAGTTGTAAGAGTTCGTGAATATAGCAATGAGCGAGATGAATATAGTAATAAGCCAAAAAAGAATCAGCAGCCACGCCACAATTACGACGCTCCTAGGAAAACAGTATTAAGAACGCTGTAACACTGATCTGAACCTTGCTTAACATTTAGTAAGTGCAAAATATGCTCATGATTATGAAAATAAATCGACTTATATGTAGATATCACCTTCCAATCTAATGGTTCTCAAAGTCCCCATAAATAGCAGAATAGTTTGCTAGAATGTCTGAATCCTTTTTGAGGTTGATACGTCAGTGGCTTGTGTATTTTGGCGATATCGCCCGCCTCATCAGAGCCACATGCCCCACAGTGAACCCTACTCTATAGAAGGGATGGCGAAACGTAATTCGGTGATAGCAAGTGAAATTGTGATCATCACTTTTTTTCCAGTCGACGACTTATGACTGGCAGTGAATAAATAGGCATTACCTTCCAGTCAACTGTTTTTGAGCATCGCTATGTATATTCAATACACTTTGTAGAACTTCTTTGTCCAAATATTCAATAATCGATGTGCATCTATTTCAGATAAGGGGTAGCACAGAGTCTAACCGAAAACGGTAGTCTAGAAATAGGGCAACAGAAGACAAATTTCCTTACTTCGTTTCATTGCTCTCGAAGTAGTCGACGTTCTTGGTAAGATTGAGAGAATTTTCCACAAACAGTGTAATTGCAACAATCAGCTGTAGAGTGATTAGAATTGATAGCGATCCTTTGGCAGGAGTGTGACGCTTGTTTGGCGTCACTAACATCTGCTTAAATAAGGAAATTCAGAGATGAACTGTTGTGGTCGTCGAGTCTCAGTGATTATAATGAAACTAAAAGGCTAGAACAGCCGAAAATTAAGGAATCATATAGAGTATAACTAGGATTAACGCATCTTCACCTTATTATGTAGCGATCAACAGTGGCTCGATCGGCGACGACGTAACCTAAAAAACGACATGTGTCATCAATGATAAATTTCAATGAAAGTGACATGCGGACAGAATTGTCCCACTTTTTGTGAATATGAAGGCAGTTTGAATGTGACCTATCAGACTGTCGTTCCTTTTAGACGCTCTTTTTTTGCCGGAACTCGTTTCTTAATGACTTCTATCGGAATATCTAACCATTCAAGAGCGTTAACCGTTAATCAGGAAGAGAGGGCCGTGGCCTAGTGGTTGAGATACTCGTAGCGGCTCGCGTGAAACCGAGCCCCACCCCCCAACCCTCTGCGGCAGTCAAGAACAACGCCGTATGGAGCGCCCCAGCCAGGCTATCCTCAAATTGCAAGGAGACTCGCTCAACCAGTACTCTACGACGTTCAAGAAAAAGAAAAACGAACTTAGTGCTAAAAGTAGTGGGATCTACACTGCAAAAAACTCTGTGAAGACTAATTAATAAAGTGTCTAGAGAAAGTGCGGGTCTATAAAAAAGCGGTCGATAGTAGAGGTATGATTCATTGCAAAAGCCACAAACTCAACTGCCGATCACCACAATGTCAGGTAATTCCATCATCTGATTTGGATGATTTATTACGCGGCGTCGATTCCTTTATAGAGGATTATTTGGCCTCAGGGGATCGGCTGGACCGAGAGAGGGTGCTAATGATGGTCCCAATAGGACGAAACAGGCGCCTGTATAGCACTAGACCTGACGGCTCGAAATATATCCTTATGAAAAAGTGCGTTAGCCATGTGGGAAGTTTGCTTTGGTGTCCACCTTGACTAGTGGGTTAACCCCGTCCAAAAACTTATCAGTGCCTCGTCTGTAGTAGACTATCACTCTTTACTAGTCAAAGACGAAAGAAAGTGTAATTTGGCCTGCTTAATGATAATGGATGATTCACTGACAGCTGGTACATCTACAGAGGCATTTCCCTTAGATATATATGAATGATATTAATAAAAAACGATATTATCTTTCAATCTTAATCACGTGACACAGGGTCAGATCTACAGCAGTTCCTTCATTCTATTCCTTTCCTTGCATTTTCTATTTACGAAGGTTTTTGATCTACGGGTTAATTCCGCTCCTGCATGATAACTCTACCCACTACTCTACTCTTATACTCTTTTTCATGAATTTCGTTGAACTCTATTTGAGTAGACTCCCTCTTTAATCTCAAAGTAACCTTGTTAGCGCGTTCACTGGTCTTTATCAAAGGCTCCTGTCAGTCTTTGTGAATCTGTAATATTCGTCCTAGATAAATCAGTGCTGATTTCGCGACCTAAGAGAGAAAAAGGGTACTGTTATATTATGGCGGCGCCTTTTGAGGCCTTCGGTAAAAGCGTATTCCTTGTTGTTATCTGACGAATGTAGACTATTTGATAGCTCAAATCAAGTGAATTTTGAAGGTATATATTTTTCTCAATATAACTTATTTCAACGCCGTACCAGTCAAAATGAGATTTTATTCCATATTTAAAGATTTCTCGCCTGAGAAAAGTTTTTTTATGAAAGTTTAAACTGTTAGATAGAGCAAATCTTTCTGATGAAGGTAATATGTTTGCTCTTTAAAAAGAACTTCTTAGAGCTCTGCAATTCGCAAAAGAAGAGTGGGTTTTACACATTTGAAATATCGCTATTTTCCGCACCCCTTCAGAAACAAAGTGTTTTTCAATTTTCCAAGTTACTTTTTAGCTTAATCAATAGCTCAAATCTAGACAATTCCAGCGATATACATAGGTTCTGAAGGTAACATTTCAATTTGCTGTATCAGCCAAAATAAAAGTACGTTTGACACTTAAAGCGTTTCAACACGTCTCCCGTCGGGAAAAGCATTTCCCTCAGATTTTTAGAACCTTTCGATCATCTAAATTCTGCTGATTCCATTCTTAGTAAGCTGTAATAGGTCAGGGCGCACAATGCAGCGACGACACCTGGCCATCACGCATTGCCAGGTATGTGGATGGGATTTTGCGATACTGGCCCCTGGCTGACGAGCCATCTCAGCATTCCCCACATTGACTAGTCATTACAAGTCAACTGCCTTCAACTGTCGTAGAAAAAATTCTGCAGCGTTGGAGAGATCTATGATTCTCATCAAAAAATCCTCATGTGATTTATGCAGCGGTTTGGTATTACAGCTGTACACACACCCTAGCCGACTAGAAGTGCTCAATGTGAACCCAATATTCTTTTGGTCGTTACAAAGCTCGAAGAAGTCCTTTCCGAAAGCCAGATCACCATTATAACTGAAAAGATTTTTTCTATCTAAAGTTTAAAAGTTTGTCACAGCAAAACTTTATCCATTGAGAAATCTTCGAATGAGGAACGGAATCTTATTTTGACTGATACGGCACCAAAAATAAGCTATTTGAGAGATTATACATGCCATTAAGGTTCACTTGATTTGAGCTATCGATAATCTACAAAAACGTTTCGCAAAAGCAGGATTGCGTTATTACCGGAGGCCTCAAATGGCGCCGCCATAATAGAACAGTACCGAAAAAAGGCTTGAATGGCCGAGTTGGGTCTCACAGGTGTTATTGTAGGGCATCTCTTCCAATACACTATGCGTGTCATAGACCGAGTAAAATACAACAAAAATTAAGAAATAACTCTGGGTATGAATAATACGCTACAGTAAGAAATTCATTACATGGAAACTGCATGTAACAACGACACGTGGAAGTTTTTAACTATTCAAAAAAATCAGGTCACTGAGAATTTGTGTTTGGAAAGGTATCATAGAAGAGATGAAATTGGAGAAAGGCAAAATTGGACGCGTGATAGAATCATTTGTTATGAAATATAATATCTTTGAGGGGAACAATACACACTAAAATGATCGGCAAAGTCCATCGTTGCAAGGACATCTAACAAGATAGTATTACACATTTGCAAAGAGCAACAATGGAACTGTTCTTTAAGTTTTACTATTTTCGTTTGTTATTTCGTCTATGCTTTTCAGCTTTATTTACAGAAAATAAACACGGTGCCTGCGCTTTTTATTACCCCGATTCCAAACATTCACTTTCCTCAGCATCTTACTCAATATTAAATCGGAAATTTACCCACCAAAAGGTCATCAAGTTGACGATGACCACAGGATTGAAGTGAAAACAATTGTAGGTTAGAAATAGCGAAAGAACTAGAATCACTAGCAAATACATCAGCATCGTTCGTCGTCAGTTATCTGTAAAATTAACACTTTGTGACAGTCCTTTCAATTCGATTAGAGTTTTGATCAAAATGACTTCCTACTAGTACCTATGCTTCAGATCGATTTTTTGACAAATCATGCCAAAGTTTTTGATGTAATAATCCGTAATTCCAGTATTTTTAGTGCCTTTTTTTGTAGTGTTATGATGTTACTTCACAGTGTTATGATATTACATACATAACTAAGAGAATTGAGCGGTGAGCAAAAAACACGACCTTAGGCATGAGTTGAACCTATGTTTCATTCATACCAGGGACACGTGCTGATACCAGTACACCACCGAGGCACATTGGCGCCACCACTCAGTGTTCAACATCTCTATGTCAGCTATCAGCCATCGACCTTTAACAGTTTTGGTCGGGTATGCGATTTTGCTTTGAAACCCAGTTGAGCTAACAGTCATTGTTAGATGTAATACTCAGGGTGACGCAGTGGTGGCGCAAATGTTCCTCAGTGGTGCAGTGGTATCATGCGTTCTCGGTATGAATGAAACGCGGGTTCGCTTCCCGCCTGAGGCCGTGTTTTTACTTACCAAAGTTAGAGATGTGCAGAATCTACTGCGCATGTTACGTGAATCTTAGAGAAAGTATCTGTCATAGAGAACTACGGTCTCATCCTCTACTTATGAAATCGTTCACCCCATCAGCGTGGGTTCAACATTTCTACACGAAGTAAGATGACCACTAGGTGGCAAGTGGTAACGACCTGGGTGAAGCGTATAGCACGTCTTTTGAGACTCTAGTGAAAACCAATCATATCTAAGAGGAAAAGTTATCAGAGGAATCGGGATTTTTGAGTCGGATCACCCCTGATCTTAGTAACAGATCGTCATTCTAAAACCCAATTAAATAAATAAGAAAAACATTATGAATATCCGGGTACTTTAGCTCGGCGGGCGACTCAGCATCTTCATGATCACAACAATGTATGCTGCATTTTGGACTAGCGAAACAACTCTACTAAATAAATATGAGGCGCTTTTGGAGAAGTGTAGTAGAACTTCAATTTACAAAATAGTGTATTAGGTCCGCATACGGCAGCTGGTGCCCTCGGCCGAACCCATGTAGAATCCCAAATCTACGGAACGAGTAATCAAGAACTAATCATACGCGCAAAAATCTCTGCAAGCATCGATAGATCGCAAGTGTACAGCATTAATCCATTTACTCGATCCATTCTGAAGGTGTTGTGAATCGCAAAATGCTTGATACTCTATTAGATATACTTGTGTGGATGTTTGGATAGCCTGTTTTCACTGATAGGCAGGCCCCAACATAGTTCCATTCGTCTATCTCTTGCGCGGTACCACGAAGTGTGGAAGAGGTACCATTTTTTGTTGGTAAGTATATGACCGATCTCCGTATGAGTCGAGCCATTCTGAGGCTCCCATATCCATGAGCGGTTTTCTCTCTTCTCGAAAAATAAGTTTTCATGGAAGCGACTTGTCGCGGACCGGAGAGCTACACGACGGTCGAACGACAAAGCCAACGCCTCAACATTTCGTGATAGGAACTTCGTTTTACAAATAACGATAGTTCCGCTGTCTGAATGCCTTATGTCGGCCTTCCTAATTTTCGTTTCATGTGAGGCATTCACATGGAATTTGATGTGACTAGCAGCTTTAACAAGTGTGCATAGGTCGGCGTGTGATGAAACTGTTCTGGTGTAATAGGTGCAAAGCAAGAAGCAGTCTTCATGGTGTGTCGTGGACATGTTCGTTTTGACTTTTTCCAAAAAATGTCATTATACTCGAGATTTCATTGCCTCTCACAGGTTATCTCAACGCCCTACATCGTAGATGGGAGCACTCAGTGTGCAGAGTTCTGAAGCTGAAAGTTTCTTGCTGAATTAGCTGTTATTCCTCTGGAACATATCAGACTCCTCAGGCCGTCACCACAGCCGCCGGTCCTTCTAGAAAGAAGAGGTTTACCGACTTGCGACCAATTAATACTACGATGGGGATAACTACTAGTCTGTCTAATCCTAACTGGGTTTTCGGGTTGAGACGCGGACTACTTCTCAGCTTCGGAGGCCCTGCTGGGAGGGCGAACCCTGCGCGTGTTTTGCAGTCCCACTTCCAGAACCCTTATAAGCTTAATACTGAAAAGAAAAACCTTTCCAAACTAAAGATAATTAGCGGAGACATCACGACATTCCCATTGAAATTTCAAATCAGTCCTATTATTTTGTCTCCGCAAAAGTTTTAGCACTAAGCATTAAGTACCACATTTATTAACAAGAAAAGATTGAAAATGTTTAACGACACTATACAAAGACGTGTCATCAGCATGAACACATTTCTACCATCTAACAGGCAACATATATACCTCTTTGTGCAAAGTTTTCTCAGCTTTATTTTGGTGTCAGAATTGTCCATATATTGAGCTATTATCTAAATAATTGAAAAAAACGCTTTTGATCGATAAATTTCAAATTTTTATAACATCAGATTGTAGAAAAGGACCCTCCTCGTTTCTTGATGCACTGGAAATTTGATGTACCTTAGATATTCAAAGATTATAGAAAATGAAGTTGCAGTCAACTCCATCCTTATAACTGTAGAGGTTATTGAATGCATATTTGATCTATACAATGACGTGCAGGTGTTTTCTGATGATTCTGTCCCAGAAAACAAGTCAGATAGAGATGTGATTTTGGATGACTGTTTGAGGTATAACTGGAGACGCTGTGTATACTTCTGGGCACTCGTAATCAATGAGTTAGCTACACAATCTGCTATTCAATTATGTATTCTAGAGTCAAACATTTTAGGAGAATCGGGTTCATACCTGATAATCCACGCCATTCCTAGATCACAGCTTATTCAGCGTTTGCAATTCACATATTAGCGAACAAATGAGAAAGCCTTCTAAAAACAGCGGCATACCAATTGTTCATCATGTTTTATAGACTAATAGAATCAATTTTTAGAAATCTAACATCATTTTTTCATCCTTGAAACAGAATAAAGGAATAACAATGAAGAATAACAACAGGATAAAAAATAGTGTAAACCGGCCTTACCAGCTAATGTTAAAAAACCGATACGAAAAATCCAGTTCACTTCAGAATGGTCAAATTCTAGTAAGACCAGTACTAGCACACGAGTGGTAAACAACCATAGTACGAACTGAAATGATTCCTCTTCATAACAAAAATCAGTGATTTCATTTTTAGGTCTTCCATGCTTTGACCATGAGAATCTCTGTTAGTGTTGCATTCTCCAAAAGGAGTGCTACTCCATTTATTCGATCACACACTTCCAAGTCATAGAATCTTTCAATCATAAAGAAGAATCCCTGTGTATATCCGTTTAGTTACAAATGAAAGGTTTAATTACTTGAACAAAACATTAACATGCTTAACGGCTAAGAAAAAACATGGCGTTGAAATGTGGCTGAGAAAAGGTACAGAAAGGGCCTTAACGGCGTTGTAGTAACACATGAGCCGCTAGAAAGGATAATGTGTTTGAATCAACTCGGGATATAATTTGTTCCTACCTCCGCATTCCTATGGTTGTCTCTCATATCGTAACATGCTATAAAAAAAAGAATAAGCGTACGAAAAAATTGAATTCTTAATATGTTATTGATATGTTTGTAAAATTGCTGATTTGAATATAAGCATTCGAGCGACTTCTGAGGTATTCTAGGTATTCGAACTTACTTGGAGACTTGGACGGTCCATCTTCACTGATAGGGGGAGCCCCAGCACAAGGATACTGTGCTGGTTTAGCTACCGGCCCTTGTGGATCAGAGTTAAATAACCACCTTGCCATTGATAGCTACCAATATGACGATCATTCGTGCTACGGTTTACCCGTACCTGAGCTTCCGAGTGGATACGTCGGACTCCTCAGCTTGAGTGACAGTGCTGAAGGTTGAACCTCCCGCTATACTTCGCAGTCCGGCACCCCGGAATACCTCCCAGCCACGATAAGGCAGTAAACCATTTAGGAGCTATTCGAAAGATACACAAAACATGGCGAAGACTCAATTATGAAGAATCTATGATACGAAGGCTAACAAATTGAACGGTATGGTCCTCTGATTACGGAGACCACGTCGAACGTGAACCTTCGACGTCCGTGAACGTGGGGAACAAGAAGAAGAAGGAGTTATAGAGAAATCGATAACAACATGGGCCGCATTCTGATCTGTGAAAGAAGCATCCGACAAAATAGCGGATCCCAAAATCTGTGTTCACTTTTTCGATTCAACTTTCCTCTCAGCGCTCTGTCATGTAGCAAAGACGTGAGCACCACGCCAACGAATCTGTGTTGCACCCATAGAGCGCTTAAGCGATGTCTTATGAAAGTCAGTCGGCACTCACGCCCCGCCCAGCCGGTTTTGCGTAGCTCACATCTTCAAAAACTATCACACCTTCAAGCGACAATTATATTCATCGATAGCGAAGTACAGATGGACCGATCGCGTGATCAGAGGATGATAGCAAGATGGACGAAAAGAACAGCGAAGTGGACTCCAACAGAATGCAAGCGTCCTTTTTGAAGACCACCCAAAAGATGGGCGGAGGTTTTTGTGGCCACTCTCAGTCATCGAATTTCGCAGATGGCAAGAAATTTGGAAATACAGAATGGGCCTCAAGTACATCACCATGCTCCAAATAGACCATCAATATGTACGACAACTGCACAAGAGAAAAACGAGTGGAAACTGTGCTGTGGCTCGAAGTACCCGTGGAAATGGGCAATTCGAGTGCCCACATACCAAAGCGTTTCAAAGGATACGAGGCTTATATAAAATGTTGAACATTAGTTTGTTCTGGATATAACACCAAATTTAGATGTTACAAATTATGTGTATTGTTCTCGGTGAGGAATTTCACATGGCTTCCCATTAGCTTAGCGTAAACGTTGAATAGTACATGTATGTATGTATGTATGTATGTATGTATGTATGTATGTATGTATGTAGTATGTATGTATGTATGTATGTATGTGTATGTATGTATGTATGTATGTATGTATGTATGTATGTATGTATGTATGTATGTATGTATGTATGTATGTATGTATGTATGTAGTATGTATGTATGTATGTATGTATGTATGTATGTATGTATGTATGTATGTATGTATGTATGTATGTATGTATGTATGTATGTATGTATGTATGTATGTATGTATGTATGTATGTATGTATGTATGTATGTATGTATGTATGTATGTATGTATGTATGTATGTATGTATGTATGTATGTATGTATGTATGTATGTATGTATGTATGTATGTATGTATGTATGTATGTATGTATGTATGTATGTATGTATGTATGTATGTATGTATGTATGTATGTATGTATGTATGTATGTATGTATGTATGTATGTATGTATGTATGTATGTATGTATGTATGTATGTATGTATGTATGTATGTATGTATGTATGTATGTATGTATGTATGTATGTATGTATGTATGTATGTATGTATGTATGTATGTATGTATGTATGTATGTATGTATGTATGTATGTATGTATGTATGTATGTATGTATG